AGCCGCATTAGCTCCTGGAGATGTGACGTCAACGCCTTAGGCGCAAAGAGCCCATTAGTGTAGACATTTTAAAATAAAGTTTACTGGAAATTTCAAAATAAAAGCCTAAATACTCCTCCTAAATATTCTGCCTTAGGCGGTGCTATTAGTCGGTGCACTACCCGCCTTTACTATCCTGCGATTACTATTTTTGTCTCTTAGGTTAGTGCACTGCCTTGATGTGCAAACTTTAGCACAAATATTAGCACAAGCATTAGCATTTCACTGTCCCCCATTAGCATTAGCCTTTTCCCTAAAAAAAAAAAAAGCTTTTAGCTATTTTTCTTATTTATTAGCCATGCTTAGTACACTGAATGGAGTGATGCCCCACATGCTACTGACAGCTTTTAGGCTAATGTTAGCAATTTGCCTCATTTTAACTTGTACACTAATTTCAGCATCCTGAATGGCATAAGCCCATCTTACTCAAAATGCTTGTGACTCTCCACATGCTATTGAGTACATTGCAGCTTACTTTAGCATTGATGCTAATTTGTAACATCAGAATGCTGGGTTCCAACCGACGGGCACACTTTGGCAGGCCCCGTTTAAATTTCTTCAGAAATTTTCTAGTTTTAAGCTTTACTTTTCATAATAAGCAAGCACCACTTTTAATTTGTTCAGTTTGTAGTTGAAGTAGCTACACGGAAATGATTTTAGACGCACTCATACATCTGTGTCTGGTAAAATGTTTTTCTCCACATCTTATACTGTTGATGCGGGAACAAGCGGCCATATTGAAACGCAAAGTTGATCATAACTAGGGATGTCGGAGTCGCTCCTGCTGCAACCTCGTCTTGTTTAATGTTAAACTGAAAACACAAAAAAGTAAAACGTAAAGATCGTGAATGAGGTCATTGGAAAACACCAAGTACACCCTTGCACATTCATTAGGATGGTAAATAGTTCGATACTTATTTGATTTATGAATCATCAGCAATCTTAGCCTCTTCTTTAAAACATAGTTGTTGCTCTGCAGCAGATAGGTGTGTGTTGAAACAAGGCCAACGTGGTGAAAAACATCAGCAATGACCTTTTAGAAGCAGTTGTTGCTGTGCATCAGTTTCAGAAGTTCCAAATAGTCCTTAATTCCACTGAGAGTTTATTCACGACTCAGCCAAACATATTTTAGACAAGTGTCAGTCTTCCCATTAGTTGATGTTCCAACAAATTGACCCCAAGGTTGGATCGTGCAATGCCAAGAGAAATCACAAAAAACCCAAGTGTTCCATCTCAGCTGGACAGTTAAACAACCGGACAAGTTGAAAAAGACTAACAGGTGTGGCTTGTTTGTAAAGGTTGTTTTATGGTGTTTTTTTTCTCTGAAGAATATGGCAGCGTTATCTATGAAGTTGCTTTTTAAAGGACCACAAGACTTTTGTAAACACATCCGTTGGACACAAGAAACCAGTGTGGGGACGTTTGACCATAGTGCAAAACCAAACCCAACACCTCAGCACAAGCTCCACAAACCAGTTGTGGTGGAGGGTAGTGATGTGGGTTTGGCAGTCAAAGGGCCTCCATTTTGGAGCAGTTGTTTATGTTCTGTTTGATTGTTGGTTTTTATTCATTCTCTTGTGTGTGTTTCAGCCTGGAGAGCTGATCATCTACTATGAGATGGAGGAAGGTGAGCGGAGCAGCTCCAGGGGGATTGTGGAGGTCTGTCCAAAGACCCACAGGTGAGGATTGTTCTATGAACCTCAGCTTCCAGCTTCTTCCTGTTTTTAACCCATTCGGCTTCTGAACCAGGATAACTTGCTTCTTGGAGAAACCCGAGGAAGGACGGACAGTGTCCCGACTGGCCAGCGTGGTGTTCTACTGCGTCCGCAGAGACACGCTGTCCTACATGTCCGACTTTCTCAGCCTGCAGACTCGAACCACGGAGCGGACCTTTGGACTATTCTGGGTTCGTAGGTGATGTTCATTTGGTTGGTTTGTAGTTTTATTATGACTTCCTATTTTCACAGCATAAAAAGTTAAGTTCACTTCCTGTTGCACCACTTAGACCAGTGTTTCTCAACCTTTTTTGGGCCAGCGCCCCCCTAGCCTTTATCCAGGTCCCTCACCGCCCCCCACCAAAGAATTTTTAGGCTACTTTGCACTGACTATTATTTTATCATTAAAATAATATTACTAT